AAAAAATGTCTCAGTTTGAAAGATATGGTCACCCCTATATTTAGCTGATGTGTGATTTCTTTTAAGGCTAAGCCAAAAAACCAAGAACTTATTCTCAAACCACTAGTAGTACTTGTGCAGTAGTGGTATGGGGGTAAGGATGACAGTGGGGGGGAAACTCCCTTCCCCACTAAATACAGAATTATTTGGCATAATGGCTCTTAAATAACCAATATTTGAGCACATACCAAATGCCATTGTTATATAGGCACTTAGCATGAGCTATTTTATCTTCACAATTGCCATGTAAGATAGATACTGCCATCTCCATCTTACAAGTAAGTGAACTGAGGCACTGAGGGTTTAAGTAAATTGCTCCAAATCAATCATCTAATAAGTAATAGAGCTGGAATTTGAACCCATGCAGTCTGACTCCAGAGTTCACATTCTCAACAACTACACTCTCCAAGGAAAATGACATTAAGGGAGTGGTGTGAAAACAAGTGTCACTTGAAGACAGTTGAAGTGTCACTGGACAGATAGTGAAATGAGCAGAGAAGACTGCTCATTCACTGAAGGGCGGTGCCCTTGTAATTTGTTTGCCTCCCCTTCTGGGGAAAGGCAGGGGAAAGCACCAAAAGAAATGGCACAGCCCAACCTGAACTTACCGGTTCAAATGTTAGCTTTAGCAATAATGATTGAGGAAAGTGAGTCAAGTAACTTGCCCAGTCAAGTAACTTCACCCTAGCAAGCTTTGAAGGCAAGATTGAACCTACTTCCTCTGATCTCAAGTCCTCCAACTGCAAATACAGTACATTGAGAAGGGATATCTTCCCAATTTAAGAACCATATGGGTATTACGAATGTGGAAAATTGAGGTGAGGGACCTGTGGCAGGATTGGTGCTTTCTTTTTTTTTTTTTTTTTTTTTTTGAGACGGAGTCTCGCTCTGTCGCCCAGGCTGGAGTGCAGTGGCCGGATCTCAGCTCACTGCAAGCTCCACCTCCCGGGTTCACGCCATTCTCCTGGCTCAGCCTCCCGAGTAGCTGGGACTACAGGCGCCTGCCACCTTGCTCGGCTAGTTTTTTGTATTTTTTTAGTAGAGACGGGGTTTCACCGTGTTAGCCAGGATGGTCTCGATCTCCTGACCTCGTGATCCACCCGTCTCGGCCTCCCAAAGTGCTGGGATTACAGGCTTGAGCCACCGCGCCCGGCCGGATTTGTGCTTTCTTAACCATGAGCAAGCGTCTAGCCTCCCTTTGAGATTAGCTGCGGGAATAGGTTGCCAATTCCAGAGCATTGTGCAACAATTTATCTTTCTCCATAGCTGAATCATCTTGCCACATTGCATAGGGTACTTGGATAGTGTTTCCAGTTGAGAACCATTCAGCCGTTTGTTACTAGATCAGAAAGGACACATGAAACAAGACCTTTTCATGTCGTCCAGAATTTAGGGTGTCAATTGGCCAGTCTATCTCCTGCCCTCTTTCCGCTGCCTATCCCTGAAGGCCCAGGACAAGTCCCATTTCTCCTTATGTTGCCAGTCATCATTATCTCACCTTTCAGTCAAGTCCTCTAGCTTCTCCTGTGTATAAACATGTGCAGTTTTCTCTTTAAAAAATTTCCGGGCTCTGACGTCCCCTCAGGCTGTTAGACTAACTCCTTCCTTTCACAATCACAGTTTTTCAAAGAGGAAGCTACATTTAACTGCTTGCTTCACTTCTTAAACCCCCACAATCTGGCTTTCTCCCCTGCCTCCATAGGGCACCAGTGAGTTTCTAATGGCCAAAAGGGGTCTTTGACCATTCCTTGTCTTCTTTCTGACATCTTTTTCTCCTCTCAACCCTTATACACAGGCATTTCCAAAAATGACACTCTTCTTCCTAGTTCAGAGGTCCTCACCAGGATGTAGGGTAGGTTTTGTGACATGATCTGATTTACTTATTTTTGGAGGCTCACTCTGCTGGCTGCAAAGATAATGGATTGTAGGGCAGCAAGAATGGAAGCAAAGCCCAGGTAGATACTGCAGAAAGTTCAAGTGAGAGATAATAGTATCCACACTATAGTGGTGGAAGTACAGAGTGAGAGAAGTGAATGTGTCTAAGGCACGTCTTTGACGTAGAACCGATGGAAATTGCTGATGGACTGGATCTGCAGGTGAAGGAAAGGAAGAAACCCAAATAACTCCCAGGTTTCTGACTTAGGCAACTGAATAGATGTTGGTATCTTTACTGAGCTATGAAAGATAGAAAAGGAGTGGAAAGAACTTGGATGGGGAAATTGGGAGCTTGGTTTTGAAAATGTTGGATATGACTATTAGGCATCCCAGTGGAGAAAGCCACATCCCTTGGCTATATCAGCCACTCTTATGACTTCAGCTTTCTCCTCTTTATATGGAAAATCTGTGTGTGTGTGTGTGTGTGTGTGTGTGTGTGTGTGTGTGTGTGTGTGTGTGTGTGTGTGTCACTGCAATCGTTTAACCCATTAATTTCTGAAACACTTTTCAACACTTTTAAAATCAGAATCCATGTCCATTCTGTCCTACTGTATGAGTTCTTCCTCCTGATTGCCCTCTTTCTTATATTGCTACCTCTAGCCTTCTCCTTACCCAGAGTTTACATTTAAGAGTTTTCAGCAACCCTTTTCCATCTTCCTCCCTCTCACCAATATCCAAGTAATAAAGAAGTCCTGTTGAACCTATCCTGTACATTATTTCTCCTTTGTTCCCATTGCCCCCACCCTAGTTTTAAATCATTATCACTTCTTATTTGGACCATTGTGGCACTCTAACTGCCCCTAGCCTTTTAATAACTAATCTTTCCTACACACTGCTGCTATAGAAATCTTTTTTCCTTACTATTTCTGTCTAAATGTGTTTTCTCATTTCCCACAGAATGTAGTCTATTCTCTTTAGCCTGGTATTCAATGTTCTTCATGATCTGGCCCTTTTAGCTAAACTCGACTAGAATTTTTCTCTTTTGTGTTTTTGTGTATGCTGTTCATTCTAGTCAGCATGCCTTCTTCTGGCTCCTATCAAGCAAAATCTTACCCACCTTCTAAGACGCTCTCAAATGCCACCAAGGTGAATTCTAGTTACCATTTATTAAATACCAGTTATTTAGTACTTAATATTTATTAAGTAGTCTAAGCACCCTACATTCATTGTCTGACTCTGCATTGCCTTTGGTTTCTTGTGTATTTGCCCCATCTTCTGTGTAAGAATGCAAATTCCCTGAGAGCAGAGATCACATTATAATTTATCTTTGAATCCTCAACTGTACTGTACACTTAATATCAGATAAATGTTTGATGAATGAACAACTGCAGACCTTTTAACTAGTTGCTATGGGAAGATATAAATAAAAGAAACATAAGATCTTACATTCTGGTTACAGAGCACATCACCAGAACACCCCCAAGATTTTCAGAATAAGTATTGAAGGGATACAAAATGGAGGGCGAACAAAGTTATATCATAACACAAAGTCATCCTGGAGGAATCAAGTTTATATAATAACGGGAATGTAAAATGGCTTCAGTGTCAGACTGACCTAATTTTGAATTCCTGCTTATCTGCTTGTTATTTTGTTTTTTTAATTTTTTTTTAGAGACGGAATCTTGCTCTGTTGCCCAGGCTGGAGTGCAGTGGCCGGATCTCGTCTCACTGCAAGCTCCGCCTCCCGGGTTTACGCCATTCTCCTGCCTCAGCCTCCCAAGTAGCTGGGACTACAGGCGCCGCCACCTCGCCCGGCTAGTTTTTTGTATTTTTACTAGAGACGGGGTTTCACCATGTTAGCCAGGATGGTCTCGATCTCCTGACCTCGTGATCCGCCCGTCTCGGCCTCTCAAAGTGCTGGGATTACAGGCTTGAGCCACCGCACCCGGCCTTATCTGCTTGTTAAGTATGTGATTTTGAACAATTGTTTCTCTCTCTAAACTGCATCTGTAAAATGGGTGTATTGCAACCTCCTTTATAGGACTGTTGCAAGGATGAAATGAGATAATATATCCAATGTGCATGTCACAATCTTCAATAAATGTTTAAAGTCTAAAAAGCAAGCCAGATTTTAAATATAGTAAGGATATTGGGTTGTCCCAGTGGTGTTAGTAAGTCAGTTTAGGTTGCCACGAGAATTGAGGGCCTGAGCACTGGCCACCTTGTTTCAGATCATAGCGGCCTCCAGGAACCTCCAAATGCTGATGGTAATTCTAAAACCACCTCAGATGGTCTTAAACTGGACCCTCACACCAAATCTAAAATATTTCCCTAAGCTGCAGAAACAAAAGGAGGTAGAAGGAGAAGAGCTGCAGTTGCCAAACACCACTGCTTGCAACCTTCCTACCACATTAATGTTCAAGGAGTTACATTTGACATCATTGCTCGATTGGAATCTACCAAGCAATTTCCACTGCACCAGCCAGTCTCTTGGGAAGGTGCTATCAGATTTGCCAGAGTAAATTATTGAGATTGTCAACTTTCATGTGGACATGGATAGTTAATGATGAAAAGAAATGAACTACAAAATTGCATCACAGAATTTACTGTGTAAACTTTTCAAACCATTTGTGCCATTAAATAGCGCCCCCACCAGAAAATAAAAATAAAAAAAAAGCCTATCCTTAGGATAGGCAGCTGATGTAACTGGATGGTGGGGGCTCTAGGTGGCCACATTCTATCTGTGTTTATATGGTTAAATGGATGAAATAGATGTGTTTGCAGATTGAAACAATTCATAAAGAGTTGAGGCTACTTTTTTTTTTTTTTTTTTGAGACGGAGTCTTGCACTGTTGCCCAGACTGGAGTGCAGTGGCTCGATCTCGGCTCACTGCAAGCTCCGCCTCCTGGGTTCACGCCATTCTCCTGCCTCAGCCTCCCTTTTTTTTTTTTTTTTTTTTTTTTTTTTTTTGGTCTTAGCGCTAAAACTCAAAATCGCGGTTATTTTAGTGGTTAGCCCGGACTCTTCCGTTGCTCAAACCTCTGGAAACTACATCTCCCAGCATGCTGTGAAACTGGTCTGACTTCATCTCAAATGGCCCCGTAGGGCAACAAGGATGGTTAGTTTTGACCCTATTTATTTGTGCCATAAAACAATCGATCCTAATTGACAGCTATTTGGACTTTTACATCTGCCAAACCCTTTTTCTTGAACTGTGGTCGCTAAATGAGGGGAGTCTGGTCTGGGAAGTCCCATCTATTCCTTCAATAGGACGGGGAGTGGGGATAGTGTCTCCGGCGATCTCAAGAATAGGAGGGAATGTTGACCAGGGAGCACCGCTGCGGCCGATCAGAGGAGCAGGAACTGGAGCCCTGGCCGAGTCCGAAAAAAGCCAGATCTGGAAGGTGCCTGCGGAACGGTTTTAAGTGGAAGATGGAGGAGCCGGAGGAACCGGCGGACAGTGGGCAGTCGCTGATCCCGGTTTATATCTATAGTCCCGAGTATGTCAGTATGTGTGACTCCCTGGCCAAGATCCCCAAACGGGTAAGAGAAGTCAGGATGAAAGACCATGGGCTTTTGTGGTGGGGGTGGGGGCAGTGGACGAAAGAACGTTAGGAAGCGGAGAGGACACTGGGCTGGGGGAAATCTTCAGAAATTTCGAGTAGCTGTATCAGATACCTAAAGCTGTATCAGAAGGAAGTGTTCTCACATTGTTTCTGAGACCGCAGCATGTCTCTGCGGGACGCCCAACGGACAGGTAGGAGTGGGGGAGGGGGTACGGAGGCGGGGAGAGGACGCAGTTTCCACTCCTAGGGGACCACTGAAGTCGTGGGAAAACAAGCTGCAGGGGGAAAGTGTTCCATCACCTACCTAAGGCCTGGTAGCTTTCACCTTAGAGATTTTGATACTTTGTATCTGTATTGTCTAAAGTGTATTGTAACTGTTAACAGAAGGGAAGCCAGTTGAAACAAAGTTAATCCGTTCCTTTGTTCAGGATAATGAGATTGACGGGGATTTTGCTGAATTAAACTTTTAAGACTATTTCTGCTTTCCCCCCCCCCCCCCCCCCCGCTGATGTTTTTAGGCCAGTATGGTACATTCTTTGATTGAAGCATATGCACTGCATAAGCAAATGAGGTAAGTTGTCTTTCTTGAACGTAGCCCTGAAGCTAGGTGTTCCTAGCCTTAATATCCTGCTTCACAGTGGAGCAAGGAAGAGAACGGTCTCTTGAAAACATTATTTTAGCTTTCTGTGAGAGTATTCACAGTGTTTGTAATCTGCCTGTAATCCCAAGAAAGCTCTTGAAGAATTAAGAAAACTTGGGGGGCCAGGAGCATGGCTCATGCCTGTAATCCCAGCATTTTGGGAGGCCTAGGTGGCTGGATCGCCTGAGGTCAGTAGTTTGAGACCAGCCTGCCCAACATGGCAAAACCCCGTCTCTACTAAAAATACAAAAAAATTAGCCGGGTGTGATAGCAGGCGCCTGTAGTCCCAGCTACTCGGGAGGCTGAGGCAGGAGAATCGCTTGAACCCGGGAGGTGGAGGTTGCAGTGAGCAGAGATTACACCATTGCACTCCAGCCTGGGCAACAAGAGTGAAACTCTGTCTCAAAAAAAAAAAAAAAAAAAAAAAAGAGAGAGAGAAAAGAGAACTTGGGACGGGCGGGGGAGGGTGGTGGAAAGTGCAGGAAGCAGTTAAGGTTCATTAGAAATACAGCTCAATTGCTTGGTTAAGTATCTCAGGGGTAGGTTCAGTGCATTATGGAGATTTTAAGTACATTTGGGTATTAAAACCAGTCTGATACAAAAAGGTGTTCAGCTAGGAGGTGTTCCATTTTTCTTTTGATTTTGTTTCATTCTAAACCAGATTTGAGGGTGTGAGTTCAACCTAAGACTTTTAGACAACCCACCACCGCCACCAAACTTTAATGGGTGAGGCTGGAGACAGGTCAAGACCAAAGAAAACTGCTAAGACTGAGCCGGAACTCAAGAGAGAGCTGTTTCTTCCAAAAACATGAACTTGCTGTTTATTGCCATTTCTGTATTTGATGCCATTGTAAGAGCAAATATAACCTTGCCACATATAGGATTACTTATGACAATTTCTGGCCAAATAGCTAAGTGCCCATACCAGCTAGTGTGCTATGCTTCATTTATCTCCCAGAAGGTAGTGTAATAGGCTTTCAGATTTTATTCTTATTATTAACAAAATCATTTTGTACCTTCTTAAGGGAATTTTTAAGCCTTTTTTTTTTTTTTTTTTTTTTTTTTTTTTGGTCAGAGTCTTGCTCTGTCACCCAGGCTGGAGTGCTGTGGCACCATCTTGGCTCACTGCAACTTCTGCCTCCCAGGTTCAAGCGATTCTCCTGCCTCTGCCTCCGGAGTAGCTGGGACTACAGGCACATGCCACCACACCCATTTTAAACCATTTTTTTAACCCATATGGTTTGGTTAACATAGTAACTATATGCCTTCCATTAAAGTTATTTAACATTTCAAAAAATTATTTTATGACGAACAAGATATCAAAGCAAAGCAAAACTGTCCAGTTTGCTTACTGTTAAATAGGGAGGCTTTCAGTAAGTGTTTTTTAACATGTAACAAAATAAATGGAAGGGTACTAGAAGAGGGAGCTTTTAGGACTGGGAAATATGGTCCAAGATATTACAAAATTTTTATTTTAATGGGTAGATTTTTCACCTCTGATGGTATAGATGTGTCTTCTTTAAGAAGAAGCAAGAATTCTTGGGTCATGGCTATGTATTTCAGTTTTGAGTCCAAACCACAGGATTTCTTCCAGCTACCTTGGTGATAGTAATAGCCTGTATAGTCATATTAATTCATCATAAACTCATGGCTGTGTTCCCATTCAGCAGACATTTAAAACCACTGCTGCCTCCCTGTGGCCCAGGTCAGGGCTCCTTCAACTTGAATGTGTATATGAATCACCTTAAAATATGTTATCTTGTTTCAAAATCATCATGTTAAAAATCTTCTTGTTAAAAATCATCTTGTTTAAAAATGATCAAATTCTGACTCAGGTCTGAGGCAAGTCTGAAGTTCTGCATTTCTAACAAGCACCTGGGGGATGCTGATGCTCCTAGTCTACAGACCACCCTTTAAGTGGCAAGGGCTAGAGAACAGTAGTGGCAGCTGTGGGGTCAAGAAGAGGAAATGGGGAATAGGCAGCTAGAGGTTAGATGTGGGAAGGCCTCTTATTGGGTTAGCTCCCTTTATTCCCTCACTCACTTCTATTTGTCACTTTTTGTGAGAAGTAGGTTGAGAGGTTCCAAGTGAAGCCCAGTTCCAACCATTTTGCCCCTTCTCGCCTCGCTCTCAGAGGCAGATAGGAGGGTTCAAGTCTAGAAACATTACATTTTGAGTTGCCCATTTTTTTATCCGTTAATAGAATGATAGTTATCCACCACACATTTTTGTATGTGTTATCCTTTTATCTTCACATAAGTCCCATAAAGTTCCCCATTTTACAAATAAGAAAACTGAACTCTGGAACAGTCAACTTACCTGAGGTTATAGAGCTAGTAAGTACAGAGTTAGAACAGGAACCCAATTCTCTGACTCCAAATCTGACTCCAAATTCAAAATGCATGATAACATAGCTGCCTATTAAAATAAAGATATAACTGAAAGGATTAGATAGCCCAATTAGCAACTGGTTCAAATGAAAATATCCCTGCCTATGAGTTTGTCCTGAAAGTTGTAACTCACAGGGTAAAGTCTGTCTGATACCTGATTATTTGTTTAACTTGAATATAATTACTTTTGTTTACCTACCTATAAACTCAAGGGAAAATCTATCCTCTTGCCCCTTATTAATAGAGTCACTACTGTAGATGTGAGGCAGTAAAGACCGCACAGTGCAGTGGAAGAACAGAATGTGTTTATTACTCTAGCCTATTGGAACAAGAAGTTGAGACTTGTATTTTCTTCTCAGACTGCTGGCTTCTGTTTCTAGCTTCTGGCATACAGTGGGTCTGACTCACTCACCTCTTTTTGTTCTCTCTGTTATTATTAGGATAGTTAAGCCCAAAGTGGCCTCCATGGAGGAGATGGCCACCTTCCACACTGATGCTTATCTGCAGCATCTCCAGAAGGTCAGCCAAGAGGGCGATGATGATCATCCGGACTCCATAGAATATGGGCTAGGTAAAGTCATTTACCAGGCAGTGATGGGAGATGGACAGCCTAATTTTTTAATAACTTGTATGATTTTTAAATATTTTTTCATTAAGAAATCATGTGTTAACTGTCGATCTTAATCTTTTGGTTTAGCCTCATATAACTCACTAAACAAGCAAACCATATGAGTTGAGCAAAACCACATGATGGGTTAGATGAAAGAAAACCTTTCAGTTGCTTAGGCCCTATTGGCAGTGCTCAGATCTGGTCTGGCTATATATATGCTGATTTAGCTGTCCTGTGACCTTATATTTTAACTGGAATACAGATTTATGTTCTGGCTAAGTTTTTCTACCTCATCCCTCATTAAACAGCTGCATTTTTTAAAACTGTAAGTGACCAGCAGGATAGTCTAGAAAAACAGCATGGTTTAGCAGAGGAACATTGAACTGGAGGGTCAAGAGAGCTGAGTCCCAGGCCTGGCTCTGTGTGACCACTGACAAGACATATCACCTTGGTTTCTCTATCTATAGCCTGTGACTAGTTCATCAGGAAGGTTTATCCTTTCTAGCTCTAACCTTTTAAAAAATTATATCCCCAACATTGGAGTTGTTTCTGTCTCACTTGGAGCTGTTATTAGCACAGTAGCCTTTTAGTAGGTTAGGTTGTTTTCACACCTCAACCTATTCCTCCTCTTTTTCCAGTTCATCTTTTAACCACTTCTTCTGATTTTTGCCCTAAGGTTATGACTGCCCAGCCACTGAAGGGATATTTGACTATGCAGCAGCTGTAGGAGGGGCTACAATCACAGCTGCCCAATGCCTGATTGACGGAATGTGCAAAGTAGCAATTAACTGGTCTGGAGGCTGGCATCATGCAAAGAAGTAAGAAAATGACCTTTCTGTTTTCTGACTCTTTCCTTGAGTCAGTTTCTCAGTTATATAAACTCTTATGCTTATTGTATTGACATTTACAGAGAGACGTGTGTATATGTGGCACTTTAAGGCATTCTGAAGAAATCCAAGTGAAATAGAAAAAAGATTACCAAATATAGTGGAAAGCACACTGCTCAAAGTCAGGACACCTGTGCTCTACACCTAGTTTTTCTGCTAACTTGCCTAACTGACTTGGACTGATGACCCTCCCTAGGCCTCAGTTTCTTCATCAATAAAATGAACAAAGGATACAACTAGACAGTCTCTAAATTCCTTTTCCGCTTTCTAGAAATTCCCCTGTCTTCAAGGGACTTACAGTCTAGAAACATTAACAAAATTAGAATAGAGAACAACATTAGCTATGGTACCAATAGAATATGTGTATGAGCTGAAGAGACTTATCAGTAGAAAGAAATTAATCATGGAAGTCTTGGCGGAAGTGAATTTTAGAGCTAGTTCTTAAAAGAAGTGGCAAACAGATTTTTGAAAAGGTGGAAAATTGATGCGAATAGGTTTAAAACAAAAGGCTGAACAATCAAGAAGAGGGCTCATGCTGCCACCTCTAAGGAAAGTAGCAACCCAGAGGTAGATGTCTCTCAAAGACAAAGGGCTTGTGAAAAGGCTCTTCCTAGGTGCTTCTTGGAGTTAGAGGAGAAGTCCTTTGGATTGTTCATTTGTTTATTTGTTTTTTTGTTTTTGAGACAGCGTCTCGCCCTGTTGCTTAGGCTGGAGTGCAGTGGCGCGATCTTGGCTTACTACAACCTCCACCTTCCCAGTTCAAGTGATTCTCCTGCCTCAGCCTCCTGAGTAGCTGGGATTATAGGCACCCACCATCATGCCCAGCTAATTTGTGTATTTTTGTAGAGACGGGGTTTCACCATGTTGGCTAGGCTGGTCTTAAACTCCTGACCTCAGGTGATCTGCCTGCCTCGGCCTCCCAAAGTGCTGGGATTACATGGGTGAGCCACCGTGCCTAGCCACCTTCTAGTGTTTTATGTTAACATGTCAAACTGCAGTAGTCTGTCTGAGAAGGATTGCTGGGCCTTCTTCAGCATTTGGAACTTTGCTTGATACTTCTGTAGTACTTAATCCACATTGAAGAATAAGGATTTTTTAAAACTCTGAATTTATCAATCCTCTGTCTGAGAGAAATGAAGTCACTGTAGTAGTAATTGCCAATGCATCATTCACAAATCAATTGTTCATGCAATCAACAGTGACCTTGATACTCTTAGGTGCTCTTGAGTCAAGAGAAAACCACACTTTGTTTTTCAGAATAAAACACAGCACAACTTCAGCATATGCAGATTAAGATAATAACAGAATTTTTTCCATCAAATTGACAGATTTTGTGGCCAAGGAAGTCCTTGAAAAAGTTTACTGCTAGAATTTACTAGTTTGGCAACAGAGCAAAGGAAACCAATGTTTTAGTAATGAGTCTTACATGGTCTTAAAAACAGAGACAAGCTGCCTTTTGTTAGCTTTTGCTTGTTTGCCTGCTTGCTTTTTTCTTGCTTTTTTTTTGGTTGTTGCTGTTTGATTATTTTTTAAATAAAGACAATGTCTCCCTATGTTGCCAATCTTGAACTCCTAGGCTGATCTTGAACTCCCAGGCTCAAGGGATCCTCTATCCTCGGCCTCCCAAGGTACTGGCATTACAGGCATGCACCACACCTGGCCTCTTTCTTTCTTTCTTGTTTTGTGTTTTCGAGACAGGTTCTCTCTCTGTCACCAAGGCTGGATGGAGTGCAGTGGTGCAACCATAGCTCACTGCAGTCTCGAACTCCTGGGTTCAAGGGATCTTCCCACCTCAGCCTTCTAGGTAGCTAGGACTACAGGCACGTGCCACCACACTTGGATAATTTTTGTATTTTTTGTAGAGATGAGGTCTTGCCGTGTTGCCCAGGGTGGTCTCAAATTCCTGGCCTCAAGTGATCCTCCCACCTTGGCCTCCCAAAGTGCTGGCACTGCACATGAAAGTCACTGTACCCAGCCTGCCTTTTTTTTTTTTTTTTAAGTTCAAAATAAAGACAATGATTGCTAGGAGAAAAAAAATGACCCTCTCCCCTCCCAGCTACAGAATGAAAGGAGAAAATTAAGCTTCTCTGAATGAAAGACTTCTAGGTCCTCTTGGGCTTAGCAAATTGAGAAGAAAAGTAGTGTGGCTTCAAAGAAAAGGCTTGCTTCTATGAATCACATCCAGTTTATTATGCAATTAAATTCACTGCAGAAAGCCTACTAGGGCCTGGGTCATTTTCCAGTGCGGTACTCTGCTTCTTATTACTGTTTTGCTGCCAAAGGAAGTACACTCTGTCTTGACCCAATCATGGCTGCTTCTGGGCTGCACACAGACATGGAGATACCCACATATATCGCCTTAACTGTTTTAGACATCTTTCAGCTGCTCCTGCGTGGAAACGGACATGCCTGTGATAAATATAAATTACAGAGAGTCTCTGGAGATTTCCCCAATTTAGGTCTGAATTCCAGGGTGTTCTTGGCATACCTAGAACCTCTCTGTAGATGGACTACAGGCATTTAGGCTACAAACTTGCATCTAGCCAGCATTTACCTATTATAATCACAATATTTGTTTAAACTTCCCATCCCCAAATATATGTACAGATTCACACATGCCATTTATTCATTGAACAAGCATTGATTAAGCACCTACTATATGTCAAATGTATGTTTATCATCACCAATAAGCAGAGATATAGAAATTGAAGCAAGATATATTGTTTCCCCTACCAAGTTGAAAAAAAATTTATTTCAAAATATCCAGGTGATGGAAGGATTACAGTGAAATTGGTACAAACCCCTTTGAAAACTTTGGAAGTGTTAAGAATGGGAAAAAATGTTCATACCAGTTGGCCCAGTAACAATATTCTTGGCAGTCTAGTCTAAGGAAATAAACCAATTCTACCTGTAAGAAATTTATATCTTAGGAATAAGACAGCAAATAATTGCATTTGAAAGCTTATGAAGGATGATTCTCAAAGAATATTCTACAAAAGAAGAGTAATGAAGGACTAATGCTATTAGATATTAAGCATCCAAAACTACAATAATGAAAACACTGGTACAAAATTAGACAGATAGCTTATAGTACACCCCCCCCCCCAACAAAGAGACCAGTTATATAGAATTTAATCTATTACAAAGGATACATTGCAAGTGCATGGGAGTTGAAGGGTCTGTTGAGTAAATGAATGGTATTGTGACAGCTTATACCATTATACACTCATCTACTGTAATAAACTAAAACGAGTGACAGCTAGATTGAAGAGTTAAATATTAAAGAAAGCAAATTTAAAAAACTAGAGTGAATGGATATTTATCAAGCTTCTAAAAGGGAAGAATTTTCTAAGCTTAGAAAGCAATTTTTAAAAATCACGAAGGAAAAGATCAAACCTGACTGTATAAAATTTTAAAACCAAAACAACTTGGTGCAGCACGCCAACATGGCACAAGTATACATATGTAACAAACCTGCACATTATCCACATGTACCCTAGAACTTAAAGTATAATAATAAAAAATAAATAAATAAAAGTTTTTTGGCTATTTTTAAAATGAAATGTAAACACAGGCTGGAAAAGCCTATGTTTCATAAATATGACAAAGTGTAGTAGGCTTGTATTATCTAACCCACTCTTACAATATAATGTATAAGAAGAAATCTGCACAAAGAACATGAATAGACAATTTACAAAAGAGTTTAAGTACAACTGGAAAACATCAGAAAATGTTCATCACTACTAATCAAAGAAATGCAAATTAAAACCATTAGGTAAGCTCTTTTTTTTTGAGACAGAATCTCGACTCTGTTGTCCAGGCTGGAGTGCAGTGGCGCGATCTCAGCTCACTGCAACCCTGCCTCCCGGGTTCAAGCAATTCTCCTGCCTCAGCCTCTTTAGTAACTGGGATTACAGGCGTGTGCCACCATGCCCAGCTAATTTTTGTATTTTTAGTAGAGACGGGGTTTCACCACGTTGGTCAGGCTGGACTCGAATTCCTGACCTCATGTCCTCCCGCCTCGGCCTCCCAAAGTGCTGGGATTACAGGCATGAGCCACCAGTTTTTAAGCCTATATTTAAAAGAATTGAAAAAGATGGTACTCAGTTTCCTAGTGAGTGTGGTTTGGAAGAAAGCATTTTGGTAGCCAATGTGTAGTAATGCCCTTTGATCGGGTAATCTTACTTCTGGGAATGTGGCCTAATTTTTTTTTTTAATATGGGAAACAAATTATTTTCATGAAGGTATTTATCAGTGTTATTTATAAAATTTTAAAAACTAAAATAACATGAATGCCTAGTAATAAAGGAATGGTGAATCTACTCCCTAGAATATTATCCTATTGTTTTACTTTTTTCCTTCTGTGCAAAAGCTTTTTGTTTTTATTTATTTATGTATTATTTACTTATGAGACAGGGTCTGCTCTGTCACCCAGGCTGGAGTGCATTTGCATGGTCTCAGCTCACTGCAACCTCTGCTTCCCAAAGATCAAGCAGTCCTCCCACATCAGCCTCCTGAGTAGCTGGGACTACAGGCACACACCCTGGCTTTTTTTGTAGAGATGGGGTCTTGCCATGTTGTCCAGGCTGGTCTCTAACTCCTGGGCTCAAGCAGTCAGCCCACTTTGCCCTCCCAAAGTGCTGGGATTACGGTTGTGTGCCACCATGCCCAGCCTTATGCTATTATTTTAAATAATGATTATAAGGATTATAGGGAACTCAGACAAATACTTCATGTGTGTCAATAAAAAAGCAGGTCTTGGCTGGGCGCAGTGGCTCATGCCTGTAATCCAAGCACTTTGGGAGGCCAAGGCAGGTGGATCACCTGAGGTCAAGAGTTTAAGACCAGCCTGGCCAACATGGTGAAACCTTGTCTCTACTAAAAATACAAAAATTAGCTGGACGTGGTGGCAGGCACCTGTAATCCCAGCT